TGCCAACATCAGCACTTTGCTGCTTTGGTGGTTAATATTTTCACATCCGGCATTGGCGGGGGGTGCTTGAAAAGACTGCAGGCAGAAGAATTATCCAGGAAAAGGATTCCTCCTCGGTACATTATTATAAGCTTGTTGGAAGCCAAACAATTAAACCAATTGTTTTCTCTCTCTCATTTAGATATTTTGCACACACAACATTTCTGCTGGGCTCCTGACCCCTGCTCTCCCTCAATACCACACAAACGTCATGAAATAATCAGCCTGCCAGCTCTGTCCACCTAATCTCAAATGATAAGTGCAATGGTTCTCATCTGCCACTTGTAAAACAAACCCTCATTAAAGATAATTAAACCAGCATTCGTTTGGAGCAGCGACCACATTGCTTTTTCTTCCTCACCACAAAGATGGCTTGTTCCACCAAAACATGTTACCTACCATCACTGCAGATTAGTAACCATATAGGCACGTCTATGGAGTTCTTAAAGCAATGCACAGGCATTACCGAAACATCACAACAGCCATGAGAGGTGGCCAAGTTTGCACTCCATTTTACAGATGGGGAAACGGACACAAAGGTGGAGAAAATCACCTGAGTCCATGTGAGTGCAGAGAACGGGCCCTAGAAGTCCTGCCTCCTAGTTCTCCACAATCTAACTAGCTGATGAGATCATCTCTTAAGACATGTATAATACAAAAAAAAAAAAATCACTCTTCTTTGCAATTGGCTTCTTCCTGCCTAACTCACTTGATGGTCTCGCAACCTGGTGTTTTGGACAAAATCATAGAACACTAGAACTGGAAGGGACTTCGAGAGGTCATCGAGTTCAGTCTCTAGCACCATCTAGATGGTTTGACAGGTGTCTGTCTAACCCACTCTTAAATATCTCCAGCAATGGAGATTCCACAACTCCCCTAGACAATTTATTGCAGTGTTTTATCACCGTGACAGGCAGGAAGTTTTTCCTGATGTCTGACCTAAACCTCCCTTGCTGAAATTTAAGCTCATTGCTTCTTGTCCTATCCTCAGAGGCCAAGGAGAACAATTTTTCTCCCTCCTCCTTATAAGGCCCTTTTAGATACTTGAAAACTGCTATCATGTCCCCTCTTAGTCTTCTCTTTTCTAAACTAAACAAGCCCAGTTCTTTCAGTCTTCCCTCATAGGTTATGTTTTCTAGACCTTTAATCATTTTTGTTGCTTTGCTCTGGACCTTCTCCAATTTCTCCAAATCCTTCTTGAAATGTGGTGCCCAGAATTGGACACAATACTCCAATTGAAACCTAATCAGCACAGAGTAGAGCAGAAGAATGACTTTTCATGTCTTGCTCACAACACTCCTGTTAATGCAGCCCAGAATGAGGTTTGCCTTTTTTGTAAGTGTCACACTGTTGACTCATGTTTAACTTGTCATCCACTATGACCCCTAAATCACTTTCAGCAGTATGCTTTCCTAGACAATCACTTCCCATTCTGTATGTGTGAAACTGATTGTTCTTTCCTAAGTGGTGTTTGTCCTTATTAAACTTCATTCTATTTACCTCAGACCATTTCTCTAGTTTGTCCAGATAATTTTGACCCTATCCTCCAACGCACATGAAGCCCCTCCCAGCTTGGTATCATCTTCAAACTTAATAATCTTACTCTCTATGCCATCATCCAAATCACTGATGAAGATACAGTACAGAACCAGCCCCAAAATAGACCCCTGCGGAACTCCAATTGTTATGCTCTTCCAGCAGGATTGTGAACCGTTAACTACCCTCTGAGGACAGTTACCCAGCCAGTTATGCTCCCACCTTATAGTAGCCCCATCTAGGTTGTATTTCCCTAGTTTATTGATAAGAAGGTCATGCAAGACTATGTCAAATACCTCACTAATGTCTAAGTATATCACGTCCTCCACTTTTCTCTTATCCACAGGGTTGATTATCAAAGAAAGCTATCGGATTGGTTTGACATAATATATCAGTACTCTTTGTACTACAGACCGCCACTCCCACATGAGGTATCACTGAGGTAATGGGATAGAAACCAACGTGTATGCACGTACATGCACACTTCAATAGACTTCTTTTTTCCATTCACAGCTCTGGGAGTGTTTCCAGTGGGTAGGAACTGGGATCCAAGACTCCTGGATTCTATTTGCAATCCTGCCTCAAATCAATGCTTGATCTCGAAGCACAGTTGTTTCATCTCTCTGATCTCAACATCTATGGTGCTGAGGGTTAATCAGCCAACTGTCAGTAAGGCAGTTTGAGACGCCACATTAAAGAGGAGACATAAAAGCCAATTATTTTGGTCATCTGCTTCAGATAGGGAAAGGTATTTGATAATGCAGTGCAGGATGGGAGGGGGCCTTCGGGCTTTTATGTTATCCCAAGAGCTTTGGCTTTCCATTTGGTGGACACCCCCCCAGCAGGAGACTTACAAGGCTATTTTATCAAGCCCTTGGAGAAATGCTTCTGCATCACAAACTACCACAAAGCCTACCTATAAAACATGCAGCTGCACTCCTGCCCCCGGGAGCCAAGACCTCTCAGCATTATAGGGAGAAGGAAATTTACAAATATGTGTATGGGGGAAGCAGGTGTCAAGGGAGGGCTTCAGGTCACAGAATGTGCGTTAACATGAGGCCTCAAAAGAGATTATGGGGACGGCGAGTTAATACTAGGGGGAGACGAACATTTGCTTGGTTTTATTTTAAAAATGTATGTGATGGGGCATGTATCACTAAGACACATACAAGCACCTACCTCTTCTGACAAAACCAACCTTTTTCTGCTAAGTCCCTTCTGAACAACGGGGGCCCTTCCTCCCTTTTAGGTGGAGAGAAAGGATTTTAAACTTCAAAGATTTCACCCCAGAGGGCTAGTCAGGGGGTTCAAAGCTACAGAGGAGTTCTCAGCTACTAATGCAGCTCTGCATTTGCTCCCTGCTCTCAGCAGGTCTGAGCCAACCCCCCCGCCTTAAGTTATGATTCTCTCACCCCAACCCCCCTTCTCCCAAACAAATTTGAATAGGAAATGAAGTGTGGCTTTATGGAGACAATGGTTTATTGTAAAGTTTTTGCTGTGACACAGGGTATAAGAACCTGCCAAGATGCATGTAAACATTAGCAACTGCCAGGATCCTCTGTAATGAAAAGCTATAAAGAACACCCAGGTGGGAAGCACAATACTACAGGCTAATTAAAGTAACCAATAATATTCCTCACAGGAATGCAAGAGTGTTCCGCTCAGTGGGAGAAGTCACTGCTAGGCCTATGAACTCAGCCTCCTGATGGAACAGAAACAAACAAACAAAAAGAGACTCATTGCTGCAAAGGCTGCCATTACCGCTGGACACCTCACTTTGGCACAACAACAACATTTGGAGTTAAACCACAAGCCTGGAAGTCAGGCAAACTGGCTGCTAGACCCAGCTCTGCCATGGATTTGTGACCTTAGGCGAGCTGTTGCCCCTCCTGGTAAGCCACCATCTGTAGAAGGGAATCAGTTTGTAAATGAACTTAGCCTGACATTTCAATTTGTAAAGCACTCATTCAGATCCAACTCAGCACTTGGCTGCTCTGGATTTCTTCAAGACCCTGGAGCAAAGAGTAGTCACTGAAGGCCCTCTAAGAAATGCAGAGTGCTGTTACTCCACCCAAAGCAAGCTGCAGCCATGAATGCTGACAAGGCATATATCCTTCCTGAGAAACGACAGCTCCTAGTGACAGGGTTAATGATGTTTGAGCAGCCTCTCACCCTGACCTGCCCTTCCACATATTCCAGCTTTAATGCACTTGCCTGATTCTCCCATCCCTAAAGGGATGGGGGAGGGGGAGGAACAGTGGCCTCCAACACCAGTTATTTTCTACATCACTGAACTTCCTGGCTCCACATTTGCCGAGCCTGGCAATTCACTCAGACTTGATGAAGAAACAGACGCATTAAAATGTCCACGGGACAAACCCCGTGGGAGCAGAGGGGTTTTATTTCAATGGCGGAGGGAAGATGACAAACCTATTCCCTTACACTCCCTCTCAAAGAGGGTTTCCAAATCCTACTAGCACAGCCGTTGCAACTAGGCAGGATTTTTCTTCACTGCCCTAATGTGTTGTGCGGTGTCGTCGTGCACCGTTAAATCACAGCTGCCCTTCAGCCCAGAGGAGGTGGTTATTCCTGAGCTGCTATGTCAATGTAAGAGGGTATTCTTGATCCCCCTTTACTCTCTGCCTCCCCCAAACAGGACCAGATACAACTCTTTTCACCCATCCATTTTACTCTCTCCTCCTGAAGAGCATTTCTGTCCTGGGGACTGTCGTACTGATGAGGATGCCTGTGCTCCCATAGTCTTCTTTTCCCTCTTTACATTTATAGGGTGACAGCTCACATGCCATCCTGTCTCCAAAGAGCTCTGGGCACTCCAGGCAAAGTAGAATTGTGCATCCTTTGCTGTATTTCCAATCAGAGTGCACGCACGCACACACGTTTGAGCCTGAAGGTGCAGGGGACCTACAACTCTGTCTAGCACTTTCAATCATTTGATGCATTACAGTTTTGAGTCACTTTTCAAACTGAGCTTTATCCTCTCATCCCAGGAGAAGACATTACTGTGGGGAAAAAGTTCAGCTGTGAAGACTGAATCAGGTCTATCCACCTATACAACACAAATCAAATGTCTGAGAACAATCCTGTTATAAGCCTCCTCCACCGTCTCCTGCTTCCCACATTGTATGAGGAGCTCATCTGGACAGCCCCGGAACAGAGCCCTCTATCAACCTGGGCAGTCAGGCTTCCTCAAACCCAACAAAATTAAACCCAAGCAAATAGAAGAAAGGTCTTGGTGTAAGGAAAATGATACTGACAAGAATCCCCTGGGGGTGTGGTACATGGAGCACGGTATCAGTGACGGGAGGCAAAGTCTCAGGAGGCAAGACGACTTAGAATTGTCTCTATTCTGTGCACTATGCTAATCTTTAGGTGCAGACAGTGTCCTAGAGGCCAATGCACCTTACCTTCTTGGAGACTGAAGAGACATTCAAACCAAATCTTTGAGCCCTTTCCTTTAATTTATCCATGTTTACCTACAAAGACACAGGAAAGAGTTTAACGTTTAAGTCATTGTCACTTCAACTGTAAGATTAGGGAAGCTGAAAAACTGTGCTTGGGAGAGGGCAGCTCGTGGCAGACGGGTCTCAGGGCAGACAGCAGCCCATTCTGCTGGGTGTGTGGAAAACCTGGTGGAGCAACACTCCTGTTAGCACTCCCTCTTTGTGTTAGGTCCGCAGACTCAGCAGCGACACCTGTCAGCTGAAGAGGGGAAAGGATCCACAAGGCAGGAAACAGTGGCCCAAATAAAGCGGCCGCAAACTTCCAGAGAGCTGTATTCTGCTCCCATGCTTCATTAACAGGCATGTCTTAAAGCTTCAGACTTGGCCCAAAGGATAATGCTACAGAGGGTGAATTCAGCAACTTTAACAGATTCCTCATCTTTACACAGTAAACCGAATGCACTTCATTCTCTTCTTTCAGCAGCCAGATACAATTAACTCAGCGGAATGAAACACTGCCTCTCGGACAAACACACCAGCCATCTCTCTCCAGCTCCGGCCATTTGCAGTAACCTCTACACTTCATTCTTACTCTTCAGGAACTACTAGGACACAGCTAGTCAAGTCCCTCACTTTGTCCAGGTCACAAGCAATGGGGTTTCCCTTGGGGGAAGTATCACACAGTCCAATGAAGCCCAGTTTTGGCTTTCACTCTACAGTATGTAGCACCATGGAGGAAACGGAAGTGCCTGATACCAACTTTCTTATGAGCAGAATTTGCAAAACATCTTCCAAAAACACTCAGCACAAGAGAAACCTGGTCTAGACCCAAATCTTGCTTAAATGAGCTTTCTGTTGCATCCTGCAACAATTCATCATGATCAAACACAAAGGTACTATGTGGTAGTACAGGCTGCACATAACTTTCAGCCCTCCCTGTACTTTAATACCTTACATTACAGTCAATATCTGGAGGTAGAACAGTGCACCATTTGGACCTTAGAAAAGAAGGATCATTTACTGTAGGAAAATAGCAGGCTGTACAAAATCTAGCAATGCACACAATCAATTCAAGCAAAAAGGACAAACACAGAACACAAGGCACACAAGCGAGAAGCTCGCATGCAATATTAATAAAATATCTGCCTTTATTCCTTCAGGCATTTAGTTCTAAAGCCAGCTTATCCATGAGTGCGGTCAGCTGAGAGAGGCAGCCAAATATTGCAAAGGAGGGATCCTAGCAAGCTTAATGCTCATATAACCTTAAGCAACCCCATGCATATCCTACCTGGTTTATTTTGGGGGTGTACTATTTACTCCTGGGGATGGAGACTTGTCTGAACAAGCTAAACACTTTGGCATTGTGTTTAGGGGACATGAACAGCTATAATTATAAGCAACATGCATTCCTTACCGTAGGCTTGCCGTCTGCAGACAGACCTGAGATTAGGAAAGGGGAGGAAACAGTTAGTGACCAGAAATGACAAGAACAGTTTTACACAGAGTTCTCTGACCTCCTTGACAACAGTGTAGTTTAAACAATCGCCACTGAATCATGACTGAACAGAACTAGCTAGGTAGCTCACTAGAACGTGAGGGAGAAACACAAGTCGGAGAGCCAAGAATTGAAGTCCATTTTAATCCTGGCTCTGACACGATCTCACTGTGTGACCCTGGCGCAAAGTCACTTCATCCCAGACTCAATTTTCCCATCTGTACAAATACATATAGCCCTCCGCCACCTCACAAGAGGAGTTTGACAATTCTGAGTTATATTTTTCCAAGACGACCAGCTCCTGCTGATTGCACATGGCAGCTGGGCACTAAGCAAGGATCTAGCTATTAGTGTCCAGCCAATTTTAGGCCCAAGTAAGAGGCACACTGGAATAGGGCAGCTCGGAGCCACTCTGAAAAAGAACCATCAATGGTGTGCTTCCATTTTTCTATCTTGTGTTCATCCAGCCCACTAATTCTGGTGATCACTAGGGAAAGGAACTTAAAAGCAGTAGGAAGAACACGAGAGCCCATTTGACTCACTTTGGATAGGAAGTGTTAAATAGTTGCTGAAGGGCAATTCCACAGGCTAGCACTTGACTTGCTTACCTTTAGTCGAAGCTGTGGACATACCAAAGCTGTTGAAAGTAAATAGATTTTCGTCAGACTCAGAGCTACAAGATAGGGTATGAAAGCATCAGACTCGCCAAGCATAAGATGTAGCATGAGCTTTCCCATCAAAAATTCTTCATGAGAGCACTTGAGACAAATTGGCCTTTGGGTGGGGTTAGCTGGCGACACTCCAGCGAATCCTACAGCTGTTGTGATTGCTGCTGTCTTTTCTGGGCAAAATGAAAATACCTGCAGGGATGGCATCATCGCCATTGTTCCATAAAGCAGCCTCAAAACCCCTCACACTGCACATTTCCATTGCTACTCCATATCACAGGGAGAACGCAACATTCCTGGTGGTTTAGGATCAGGGCCAGTGGCACAGATAAAGTGTGCTATGCTAGCGGTAGCAAATCAGGTTTAAAGGTACAGTCCAGGTGCCGAATACCAAACACTTGCCTCATATTTTGAGCAGCATCTTCCCCTGCCTTAGCCACCTGGGAAACTCAGGAGGGCAGGCAGGCAATGTCACCTAGCAGTTACAACTCAGGCTTCTGCTCTAGGACTCCCAGTTTGTATTCTGTGCTCTGCCAATAATGATCTTGATCAAGTCCCTTCTGCACACCATGGGTCAATTTCCCCCATCTGTAAGTGGTGATAAACGACTTCCCTGTCCCAGGGGGAAGGCACCAATGCAGGGGCTGTGAGGCATCAGTCGTTGATACTTGACAAGTGCAGCATACTAGGACAAGCATCAAGGACTATAAAGTGGGCAAAGTCTTTCAGAAATGCAGGTCAGCAGCTTTCCAAAAGGCATTCCAATTAAGCAGCAGTTTTCTCCTTCCATGCACATCAAAAATCCAGAGACTTTCAACCCCCAAAACTGTCCTAGGCCCCACATTGTGGTGCCAAGAATCCATATTAAATTATCACTAAGACCTATCACTGAGACCAGCAGCCTCACACTAAATCAGGAAAGGTGACAGCGCTCCACCCAGAGACTTACCGAGCCGCTCGCGCTGCCTTCTTACTCTCCAAGCTCACGGGGACATTGAATCTCTCAGCTCGTTTCTGCATTCTCTGAAACAGGGTGAAGAAACAGGGCAAGGCTTAATCCAATGACACGGATAGCCAGTTCAGAGATGCCTCTCAAAGCAGGGGCACCTGCATTTGGTTTCCAAAAAAGCATTACCAAACAAGCAAGGGGGCCAAGAGGCCACTCAATCTGTGGCCTAGAATTTAATGAAAGGGGTCAGGATTCCTGCACTCCATTCCCAGGTTTGCCAGAAACTCACTATGACAAGCAAGTTTCTTCACCTCTTTGTGCCTCAGCTCCTCCTCCCTGCTTAAAGCAGAGTGATTTCCCATCCTCAAAGGTGGATTGTGAGGACTGAAGGATCCTGGAGAAGGCATTACAGGAGGAAAACCATACTAAAGGTGTGTAAAATCATCTCAGATCTGCCTTAATAGATCGATAGAGGAGAGACCTGCATCTGACCGGCTTTGCCCTCAGCCCAGAGGGAGAGAGAAGCTACTGCATGATCTGGATCATGGCAATTCCTTAAACTTTTGAGATACAGGCCCAGAAATAAAGGAGATACATTGTTATGGCCTTGAACAACATAATCATCATTTATCTGATCCCAAAGAACATTTTTCTCTGGTGAAGTCCTGGGCACCTGCAGCTCCCCAACTTCAAATGTGAGCCGAGGGCATTGGGCACCTCACTTGGCCAGAGCAGGTCACATCTGTATGGAAAGGGACTTGCCAAAGGTGAGAGATTAGCATGCTGACCCAGAGGCAAAAGGATGGGCTTGTTTCTTTTTTAAACTTAGGGGGAGGGATAGCTCAGTGGTTTGAGCATTGGCCTGCTAAACCCAGGGTTGTGAGTTCGATCCTTGTGGAAGCCATTTAGGGATCTGGGATGGTACTTGGTCCTGCTGTGAAGGCAGGGTACTGGACCTGATGACCTTTCAAGGTCCCTTCCAGTTCTACGAGATAATAATAATGGAGATTGCCTATTATTATACCATACAAATCTGCTGCTTGGGCAGAAGACTGAAATGCCAAGCCAGCGAGACAGAACCTTGCACATCTCATCCGACAGAAGACCGAAATGCCGAGACAGAACCTTGCACATCTCATCCGGGGAGAACCTCTTGCAAAAAAGCAAATAAGGAGCAGCCCCGGCACTGACTACAAAGGCGGCAGCAGGTTCAACAGGCCTCAGTTGATTTGCAAAAAAGGCAAACAAAAACATTGTTTTTAAAGAAGTGAAACGAAGGAGAAAGACGCAGGAAAAGAAGGGCTATTCATTGTTCCTTGAATCTTAGAACAAGTCTGGGAGGGTGACTGGCACAATTCACACAGCCTGGCTCAGCCTTTCAAGTGGAGTTTACCACTCAGTGAAAGTACGATACATGCTGAAATTCTCCAGCCTGACATCCCGCCCCCACAGACAAAGCTCTCCTGGACCTAGATGCACATTCTCCCTCGGAAAGTAGCGAAAGATGAAAGTGTTGAAAGCACAGGGTGCTTGTATGTTTATATACACTCACAAACACTTATAACGTTTAAGTATTTTTAAACAATTAAACAAAGATAAATTTGATCAGCCAATCAGTGCCTTATTATTACTCGTACAAGACCATGACGTTAATTTGGTGCTTTACAGTTAAGAAGAACTGGGAATTTTAGTGCCAAGGACTAAAAAGTAGCTGAAGTAACTAGCATCGAGCATGGAAAAACTTATGTGACTGTATACCCATGAGAAGGGATGTGATAAGAGGTATACAAAATCATGGTCTAGCAAAGCCAGACCAAGCTCTGCAACTCACCTCCCACAGCACAAGAAGAAGAATATGTTTAGTGAAACAAAGGGAGCATGTTTAAAGCTGGTAACAGGAAATATTTGCTCATGCATTAGCCTGATAAACTCATTGCCAAAACTTAGCAAGGTTCAGAAAAGGACTAGCCATTTATACAAACAATAAGAGTATCCAGAGTTGTTACAGCAAACAATGAAACTACAGACAAGAGCTTTGGAAGGGCTATACACCCTCCTGCTTTTGGGCACATGCCAGCCTGGGTATTATGGGCTAGGAGAGGGGGAATTTATCTGCATATTTTTGCATCTACCACTGAAACAGCTAGTATTGGAAACTGTTGGGGGTAGAATATTGGAGTAGACGAAACACTGGTTTGATCCAGGCAATGCTTGTGTTCTTAACTACTTACTAAATCTTTGTTACACTAAGCTCCTTATGGTATTAAAACAGAATTTTAGAAAACGTGATTTACTTAGGCTCGTACTTTACATTTCTTTGCATTTCATTTGTTTGGACCAATGAGGCCCAGGAAGCTGAAATGAATTGCACTGGATCACCTATCAAGCCAGTGGCCGAATTGGGATTAGAACCCAGGAGTCCTGGAAACTTCAGAGGGATGCCACTCTACATAGATCTGCTCCAGATGGTACCTTGATTAAAAAGGTACATGAAACAAGTTTACATGATAAATACAGGTTTTCTTTGTGAACTGGTCTTGGCAGAGTTTGGAACTGAAAACAAGGATGTAGGTATGCTGTCAGCAAATGCATTTAATGAGCTGTTTAAGCAGCTAATGCCAAAGGCATCGCACAAAGCAAGCAAGACAGCCCTCCTTTCTGATTTGTTCCAGTTCCACCTCAGATCAGTTTCTTCGTATTTTCCCTCATTATTCCCCAAGTTGAAATCATAATCCTCCATTTGCGACATCACCCCCTGGTTGCTGTGGAGCTGTTTGTGTCACAAACAGAAGATTAGAACTTCAAGGTGGTGGCTGAACAGCAGGGAGACACAAATTGAGTTTTCAGACCTGGTTATGGAGAATAAGAAGGGAAAAGAAACAAGACAGCAAAGTTCCCGACAGCATATTCTCTATCCTCTCCAGCTGGACATGTCTCAAGGAATCCAAGATATTCCACAGCCTAACAGAGCTGGCAACAGCCGTCCAGCGATAAGGCTCTGAATCCTAGAGACATCAGGAACAGAAATGCAGCTTATACACCCTTGTGGTAACGAAGGGAGGTTGGTCTTTGGGTCCTTCTCTAGCAACCTCCTCAGCCAACTCATGTTAGAGGACACTATGGATGGAATTCTTCCACTAACTGCAATACAATCACAACCTAGGGATGAATTTAGGTGCATAGAATATAATGGCAGACATGAGAAAGGAGGGAAATGGATGCAAACAGACAACTGACAAAAACAGGTCTTAATAATCTGGTGTCAAAATAAAATGCACCAAGAGTTCAAACATCTCTTTAAAACAATCTGCAGCCTAAAGCAACATAGAATCACAGTATAAAACCTTGAAAAGCTGAACAGGGAGTTTACAAAGGAAGTTCTGATAGGGAAGTTAAGGGAAGGTTCCCCAAATGTGAAAACATATACACAGGTTAAAACAGGTACTCCTGAAAGGAGGGAAGGGATAGGGAATAAGACAGGAACCTTACCTCCATCTGTGGTATTTCTGATGTTATTTTCACCACTTTCTTTTCCGCACTCCTAGAAGATGGGGGGAAAGGGAGAGATGGATCAGAGCCAGGAACCTATACTTACCATTCTAATTTCCAAACAAAGAATTCCCATTAGTTTAAGATAGCATGTCCCAGTAGCAAAGATACTGGGTTACCTCCCTCCACCTCTGCTATTAGCAACACACCCCAAGCATCACTGGATTCATGATCTACAGAATGAAAGGACCCTCAGCCATCACCCCCAAGACACAAACACTCCTCCAGCCCTTTGCCAGGCAAACCTTTGTAATGTGGCACCTAGGCACCAAAGAGAACGTGAGGGATGGAAATACAATCCTTACCCAAGGTTAGGGGCAAGACAGAGAGGGAAGGACTTTCCTCGTGAAGCCACATGGGTCCTACCTATAGTGTGACTAGTGGGGTAGGCTTGGACCTGGCAGCCAGAATTCCTATATCCCATTCGGGGTTCTGCCAAGGAGCATGGCCTAGTAGCCAGAGAAGATCCAGGGGTTCAAGCACTCTTGAATTCTACTCCAGCTCTGTCACCGATGCAACCTCAAAAGGGTGGAAGGCTCTTTGCCTTGGAGCAAACTGTTGATACTCCCCAAGTCACAGCAGGAAGGGGAAACTCTAAGCACTCTGAGGGTATGTCTACACTACCCCGCTAGTGCGAACTAGCGGGGTAATGTATGCATACTGAACGTGCAAATGAAGCCCGGGATTTGAATTTCCCGGGCTTTATTTGCATAAGCCGGCCGGCGCCATTTTTAAATGCCGGCTTGTTCGAACCCCGTGCCGCGCGGCTACACGCGGCACGGGCTAGATAGTTCGGAATGGCTTGCTAGTCTGAACTATCTGTACACCTCGTTCCACGAGGCGTACAGATAGTTCGGAATGGCTTTCTAGTCCGAACTATCTAGCCCGTGCCGCGTGTAGCCGCGCGGCACGGGGTTCGAACAAGCCGGCATTTAAAAATGGCGCCGGCCGGCTTATGCAAATAAAGCCCGGGAAATTCAAATCCCGGGCTTCATTTGCACGTTCGGTATGCATACATTACCCCGCTAGTTCGCACTAGCGGGGTAGTGTAGACATACCCTGAGAAACTTGCTTGAGAGGGGATACAGAAATGTGAAGTATAACCATTCTTGCACACACCCAAGAAAACCTATCTCCCAGAGGCTCTCAACTGTAATGTTCAGTTCCCATCAGAAGCCCAAATCCTGGACCACGTGCCCCTTTACAGCGATTTGTTTACAAAGGATTGCTCTGTTCCAGTTCACAGCACAGCCACAGGTTACTTCCCCCAGATCAGCGCCAGCTTCTTCAGCTCAGGGGATAATTCAGATGCACGCTTCTTTAACAATGCACAGTTGGCTACAGTGAAGATCGGCACAGAGACTAAACACAAATATAATGGAGTGGGCGTACTCCCAAGTTTATGCTCTAAAAATAGGGGTGAGGTTTGAGGGAGAAAACAAAGGAGGAAAAGACAAAGTTCGGAAGTTCCCAGGTTCCTCCTCCCTCAAATAACTCCCATAAACCAGTGGATCATAACCAGCCTCATTAAGGTCTCCCATTTAGAGAAATGTGCTGCCTTTGTTCCAGATCCCTGGACAGTTTTCCCATTTTATGCTCTGAAAGGTAGTAATGGTTTAATTACACTTTCACAGGAAGCAATTCAGAACAGGAACCAGGACTTGTTACTCTCCAGCCACCTCCTGGCCTACTTGTTTGGGATGCAGATAAAGGACGCCCCCTGCTGTTCAAAATTAAATACTAAACTCAAATTAGCTTGAATCTGTTCTACCACGTTAGCAGCCACTATCAGATTCTCTCATGTCTTTCACAGTAACAATTTAACCACCAGTAAGACAGCAATAATGCAAGCAAATACTCAAAGACCAGGCCTCTGCACCACTTGTGTGCTATCCCAACAGCTTACGTGAGGCTTTGTTCTGACACACAGCACAGGAGTGAATGTCAAGAAGGCAATATTAACAAGCTCTTGTTAACTATTTGCACAGGGTAACAAAACACATGCTGGGGACACCCTCCTGTAGTGAGGGGTGAGAGTTAGGGAGAGGACTGGGAGGAAAGAACTCCTGATTTCCAATTGCAGCAGAGACAATAACTCCCTTTGTGGCCTTGGAAAAGTCACTTTACCTCTCTACACCCTGGTTTTACCATCCAACAAAAATAAGGAGAAATACTTCCCTGCCTGACAAGGAGCACCACATAAAAGATCAGTGTTGCAGGGATTTACTAGCAGGAACGCACCGGGGTTTAACCTCCAGCATTCAGTTTCTCTGAAAGAAGGTCTCTTCACACAGACATGATGCATCCTCTCGGATCCAAACAAGAACAAAAATTGGACATTTGTTTCATATTTCCATTTTGCCAAAAAACACTCTGATAAGCGCCCTTCCTCCCTCCCCCTGCAAACACCTGTCCATAGATTACTAAGGAAACTCAACTCAGTGCCATTAAGCAAATGCTTAGGAACCACCATGAAAGGAAAAAACCTGGAAAGAGACCTTCTGCGCTGTGACCTGTTGACAAGATGCAAATGCAAGGAAACTAATTTACTAGTTTACCGATTCCCTTCCATCCAACACTGGATCACTGGAACAAGCCAGGAAAGATACAACATAGATATCCTCACAAGAGAAGGAAGAGGACAACTAGGCCAAGTGACTGCAAGTCAGATGAATATTTTACATTTCTATAGCATCTTTCATCCCTAAATCCTTCACACACTATATACAGCTTTCCTGAAATGCAGCCACCTCAGAGGTGGACAGCAGCAGCCAGTTCAACAGCAAGGTGAGGCAAAGGACACCAGGCCAGAATTCTGCTCTCACAGAAGGTGTCAGGTATGTTAGGTGCTCACACAGGGCAGAGGGGGGCCCTGGTTTTCAAAATCTCCTCCAGAAGATCCACACTGACTAAACTGTTAGGGAAGAATGAAGGGCAGAGCCTAACCTCCTGGGATGTGAACCTGTGATTCCTGGATTCCAGGGCATTGCACACCTGATGTTCATTCTACCAGGTCACCTGAACACACACATCTCTGATACATATCTTTGTAGATTTCAGCTCCTTTGAAGTAGGTACTATGGAACTAGTGAATGTTCATACAGTGCTACCGTCTCCATACCCAGACATATGCCCCTCAGTTACAGCCCCAGAAACAAGCTTTGACCTAAATAGGAATTGATAGTTACACATCAGCTGATTTTTCAGGTGGCTCTTCTTCTTTAGGGGGAGGCTCTATCGGCTTCTGTTCTTCTTCCTGCAATTCAATCAGTTGAGAAAGTGGGTCAGGTTAATACACCAGCCATCTGAATAGGAGGCGGTACAACCAACATTTCTAGATTTTGATTACTTACAAACATCTACCCAGGGCATTAAGTGCTTGGAAACAGCTTTTCCATGTTATATACAGAATTAAAATGGAGACAGTGCCCTAGGCAGCGTGCTCTTCTCCCCCTAAATCTCTGCACATCAGATCTGACCTTTTCCCCCACACCCAGCCCCTGGGAAAGAGACAGGCTTTGCAATGTCTTCTGAAGGTCAACTTTCTCAGGCTCTGGCAAACCAAGTAGAAAATGAACCCAACTGAGAGCCCCGTGTCTCCAGAGCTCTCTCTTTTACACCACAGGGCTGTCAACTGCAACATCTCATCAGCTGCCCTGGCAACACTTGAGGAAAGTCTCTGAAGGTTAAGAGGCCCAAGAGAGACCCTATCTACTCATTCTAAATGCACTTTCTTCCTGATCATTTAACAAACCCTCAGCCTTAAACCAGAAGCTAAAATTGCTGGGCTGCCATCCCACATGGACATTCTCCTCAGAAGGCAGCACAGAAATCCGGGGAGCCTGGCCAAAGAGCACCTCACTGGGGGATCACTGCTGTCTACTGCAAGAGCTTTGTTAGTATTTATTAGAAGGGACTGTAGCCTAGACATTAGACTCTAGGACAGTGGTCCCCAACGCGGTGCCCGCGGGCGCCATGGCGCCCACCGGGGCATGTATGTGCACCTGCCAACAACCTGGGCCGGCCCCGCCCACGGCACCCGAGTGCCGGCCCCAGACGCGCGGCTCGGGCGGCAGCGCAGGCCCCGGGCCCACAGCACAAGGCGCTCGGGCGGCCCCAGCCCCGGCCCTAGGGCACATGCCGGCGCCGGGTGCAAGGGCATCCCAGTCCTCTGGCGTGCTCCCGGACACGCGGCTCCACCTCCCAGACTCCCGGCGCGTGAGTGGCCCCCACCTCCCAGGCACCTGGGAGCCTCTAAAGGTTGGGGACCACTGCTCTAGGACCAGACCACTGACATTTAACAGGCAGTGCAAAGCCTGCATCTCTGACTTTGGAACAGCCTTCCTTGATTCTCGAGACAAATCGCTTTACCTCTAACCTTTCCCCATGTGTAAAAACAGAGATAATACTACAGACAACACTATTGCATGAAGGGTGCTGTGAAAACAGATACAGTGAAACAGCTGAAAGCTTCTATATAAAGACAATACTTAGCTCTTCCTGTAATCACTATAGCGATCTGGAGTTACCATACGGTGTTATTTAAATGCCTAAATTTATTTAAATGCCTAGTTGGGATTGGTCCTGCCTAGGGCAGGTGGCTGGACTTGATGACCTTCTGAGGACTCTTCCAGCTCTATGGTTCTAGGATTCTACTCTGGGTATTTATTTTGCAAATTAGTAAGGCAGTTGTGAAATACTTAGCCTAACAATGAATGATATAAGGGGATAAGATATACCCTGGATTCTGCATACAGTAATATTCTGGGGCATGATTCTGCAACCCTGGAGACCGTTCACATGAATAAAGTTCCATACGTGCTTGCAGGATTAAGTGGGCTTCCCCCCCCCACACACACACCTGAACTCATAGTATTAATATAAAAAAATTCTTTACTGAACTTTGTATTTTAAAGTGCCTAACAACTAAATCACAATGTATTTAAAAATACAGACATGGGGTCAAATCGAGAGATGATGCATGCAGATTTGACTCCAGCAAAGATGTGCCTGCACATGTCAGGTCCGAATTTAACAACATTGCCAACAGATTTTTTTGGCTCTACTTTTCCTCTGGGTTTGTGGGCAAGCTCAAGGATATTATTAATGCTGAGTCTTGTTAAGAACTCTTAGGTTTTGTAAGTGCCAGGATAAATAGTCTATTTTAGAGATAGCTATTTACAGTTTATATTTGTTTTGACAAGGCTAATACTTTTTTCTGAGGATACAGGAAACATGCTTGGGATGAGAACATTCTCCAGGGTACTATAGCCTACCCTCTCTCACCGAGGTAGCTGGCAAAGAACACAAGAACTACACAATATGCACAATCCAAACCCAGCACTATGCTTCTTCACCTAAATAGTTTTCTAATTTACTTAAATAAACCCACAAAGATCCACATTCACACACAAGGATCTATTTACTTAGTACAGGCAGTCCCCGGGTTACGTACAAGATAGGGACTGTAGGTTTGTTCTTAAGTTGAATCTGTATGTAAGTCGGAACTGGCATCCAGATTCAGCCACTGCTGAAACTGATCAGTTTCAACAGCGGCTGAATCTGGACACCAGTTCCGACTTAAATACAGATTCAACTTAAGAACCCCAGGCGTCCCCAAGTCAGCTGCTGCTGAAACTGATCAGCAGCTGATTCCAGGAAGCCTGGGGCAGAGCACCTGGGGTTCTGCTGGGTTGGTCCAGTAGCGCCAAGGAGCGGTGCTGTGGGACCAACTGGCAGGGGCCCCCCC